TGCTGGGAATGTCACCTGAAATGATCTCAGACATCTACTTTGGGGGTTACGGGGACGGCACCGAGGAAGACGCAGGGAGCCACGTGACGGTGACGAACGTCTTGCTGTACAATCGCTGCTTCAACGGCAGTGAGATTGAGGCACTAATGAGGAGGGAAGAGAGCGGGACGGTGACGGAAGTGGAGAAACTGCCCCCGCCCGCAGCACCCCCCACCAGCGACCCGGCGGGTTCAATGCACGGTGTGACTGGCAGTTCCGCAGGGGAAGGTGCCGGACCACGCGATGCTCCGGCGCCAGGCCTGAACAACGCCTCCGTCCCACATGCCAAGAGGGTTGCGGAGGCAGCGCCAAAGGAGGTTGGTGGCGGTGACAGTTCTGTGCGTGGGCGTCTGTCTGGGGTGCTGTTGCCGCTGCTTCTGCTGCTTGCAATGTGGGGCTTCCTCGCGCTTTGCTGACCAGCGACGTCGGGGGCTGCGCCACGCAGAGGGAAAACATGTGCGCCCCTGAATTAATTTCGGGTCCGTTTCGGATCGTCTTGCTTTTCGCCCCGGTCATGGGATGGTTCCTCCGCTGGGCTGAGCACCAGGAGCATTTTTATTATTATTATTTTTTTTTCCTTTTTGTTAATGTTTTTTATGTTTTTTTCTTGCTTTGCCCACTTGCTGCAGGGAGGGGCGGGCGCCATTTATGGCTGTTGGCGCCTCACGCCCACACACGAAGAAGCTGGTGGGCGGGACGACAACACGCTGAGGTGCCCGCAATGAGAGATGAACGATGCGTGGACATGAGGAGGCCCAGTTGGGACGGAACAAATATATCTTTTTCGTTTTGTAAAGTTTGCGGGGTCAATGGCCAGATCCTGCAGATTATGTTTATTGTTTGTGCCAGGAACGGCCCCAGTTGGAAATATTTTTCTGTTTCAATTTGCTGCAGTGAAGGTGGCGCAAAGGGCAGAGTTGTTGAGACGTACGCTTACGGGGAGACCGTCCAACAGTGATGACTGCCACACAGACATTTTGCTTAGGGGCAGGGCAGTGCGGCACCGACGCGTGTTCATTTGATTTTTGCCCGGCATCTGTGCCAGACTTGGCGTCCCACACAGAGGGCATTTTCATCGTGGAGGGGGATAATTCCATTTGTTTGATTTTGGCCGGGACCACCGTGCAGACTTTGCCGCGTTTCGTGGTTGAATGATTTCATTCACGGTGTTGCCGGGTCTGGAGTCTCCTCGGGGGATTTTTACGTCGTCCACGGCAGCTCTCCGTGCGGGATAGGCGGCACACGAGGAGCGTGAGTCGGCGCTGCGTCACCCGCACAATTGCGCCGGGGCTCGGCTGAACGGCCAAAGAATTCAGCTGCAGTGCGCCGCCAGCTGCCTCGTATTCATGAAGTGATCGGCCAACAGCGGCGGAGACTAATGAAGGGAGAGCCCAACCCGGCGAGAGGGAAACGCAGGTGCGGAGTCTGCCGGACCAGAGGGGTCTTGTCGCAGCCTACGCCACCGCCAGCCTCTTCCTACAGAGGCCTCCAACAGGCCACAGCTGCAGCCGATTGATGCATGTGTGTTCCTCTGCGGGAGGGACCAGGCTGATAATAATAGTGGTGGTGATGCAGGCACCCGCAATTCAGGAATGGTTGCAGGAGCCCAGGGAACCCAGGCCGCGGGCGGCAGCACCGAGAATCCGTCCTGAAGTGCGAATTTCCGAAGCTTTGACGGCACCATGCGGTGCCCGATGAATCCCTTGCCCGGCGGGCTGCTGAACGCGTTCCAAATTGTTGTTCCCACATCAGCTACTCCGGGTATGGCTACATTAATGGCGTGGAAAAGCTTTTCCACATGGGTTTGTGCTCTTCAATTGGAGGGGGTGGCGGCGCAAGTCGCGGGGTTGAGCAGAAGACGTTGTGCCCAACTCTGAATTCAGCGGGTGGTAAGGAAGGCTTTTGGGTTTGCGGGTCCAGGACACCCGGGATGCTGTGGACGAGCCCCAGCACCGGGAGGAGGACCCAGTTTAGCAGACAGCATAGAAGGAGAGGGATAGGGAGATTGAGAGGTGAAAGGCTCCGCCACCAACTCCAACACGGTGGTGCGAATGCGGTGGGATCGGGCACCATGGCGGGACTTTTTGTGTGAGCACTTGCGGTGCACTCTCGTGGGCCTGTGGCGGTAGTTGTGAGTTGTGGGGAGCCCTCTCAAACACGTCCAACAGCGATCCCCACAGAGCGGCTAGGTGTGTGTGTCGGCGGCGGCGTAG